GGATTAGGATTAGGATTAGGGACCCCACAAGCAGCAGAGGCCCAGGGGACCCCACAGAGCGGGTCTGGGGGCACTGACCAGGAACAGCCAGGAGGGTCCAGGTCCTCAGGGACGTCCCAAGGCAGCTCCACAGCCAGGAGGGAAACAACCACGAGCCCAAATCCAGTGTGGACCCAGCACAGCTCCAACGAGGCCCAAAAGAAGGGAGCTCAGCTTAAATGGGGCTCCCACGCCAAGGGGTGGGTGGTGGGTGGGTGGGAACCCTCCACAAGCCTGGTCAGGGCAATTAGTGCCGCCAATTAGGGCACTCCAACGTGGGCAGGGCTGGGACGTCCTCTCCTCGCTGTCCCAAGAGGATGTGGAGTCGTGCAGTGAGTCAGGGACACCCTGGGGACACGGGAAGGAGTGAAAGGTCAAACGAACCTCCCCCAACCAGAGTGTCTCCCTGCTGGATTGGAGAACCTTTGGGCTTGGAAAAAACCTCCAAGATCACGGAGTCCAACCCTTCCCAGCGCTGCCAAGGCCACCACTGCCCCGTGTCCCCACGTGCCACATCCACAGGGGTTTTAATCCCTCCAGGGGTGGGGACTCCACCCTTCCCCGGGCAGCCCCTTCCGAGGCCTGACCACCCTTTCCAGGAAGGAATTTTCCCGATATCCAACCCAAACCTCCCCTGGCACAGCTCGAGGCCGTTTCCTCTCGTCCTGTCCCTCGTTCCCTGGGAGCAGAGCCCGACAACCCCCTCTTGTTGGATTGCTCCAATATTTCTGAACGCTGACACTTTCCCAATGTCACCAGAGGTGAGGAACGAGGGGCACGGTTTTAAGGAACAGAAACACCACCTGTAAGGAGAGAAATCCCAGAAAGTTAGCAGAGTTATCCCAGTTAGGAAGGAAATCCCAGAAAATTTCACCTTTTGCATGGAAATATTTCTTTTCTCCTCTTGTTGATTTAGACCTGTAACATCAGAAAGGGCCCTTGGATAATCAGAATTAGTTGGTTATAACACCAGTTCATTTTGGATTACTGGTGAGAGAACTGTTATTTCTGTTCCTAATCCATGTTCCCAATCCACCAGGCACCTTGGAAATGCCCTGGATAAGGAACGAGTAGGGATTTCAGTGTGTGGCTTATCACTGGCTGTTTATTTCCAACTGAATTTTCCTTAAATTAGGAAACCAAGACCTTCAAACTCACGGGGCTGTCCCCAGCCACCTCCATCGTTGCAGCTTCGTGTTTTTTTAGTTCCCTGTCCCTGGAGATTAAAGACCGGTTCTCCCAGTGACACCGTCCCATGGGATAGTTTATCCACCACAACAACTTCCCGGGTTGTCTGGGTAGGGCCCACAAAAACCCTCCTGCTGAGGGCCAGCAGGTGTCAGCAGAAAACACGGGATTAAAGTCACCTCTCGCTGGAATAAGGAAAATGCCGGGAGAGGAGCAGGGCAGGATTTTCCCTCTGATCTCCACAAACCTTCCTCGTCCTTTCGTCCTCTTCCTCAGGAAATGAGTCAAAGCCAAGAGACTTTCCAACCAAATTAAATCACCCACAAACGTGGATCTACCAAACCAGGTCTTGTCCCGTTTTAAATTTATCTCCCCCCCTTCTCCAACTCTGTTTTTTATCACTGAATGTTTCCAATAACCAGCTTTTTTTTGGCACAGGGTTTGCCCAGAGAAGCTGTGGCTGCCCCTGGGTCCCTGGGAGCGTCCAAGGCCAGGTTGGAGCAACCTGGGAGATTGGGAAGTGTCAGGGTTGGAACAGGATGGGCTTTTAAGGTCCCTTCCCACCCAAACCATCCTGGGATTCCATAATTTTTTTCTAAAGGACTAACACATTCCACCGGCACGCTCGGTCAACTTGGATGTTCCTGTATCTGCACGAACCTGAAGCAGAACGGGAAAAAAAAATTAAGAAATGTGCGGGATGTCCTGGAAAATGAGAACATCCCAGATAATTTTTTTCTTTTGGGAAGCTGCTGCCCCTTGTCCTGTAGGATTTTTCCCTCCCTGCAGGAGCTTTGCAGCCCCCTCAGCTCAACACGCCCCAGGTCTGGCTCCTCCATCCAGCTCCTCTCACTTTGCTGCTTCCCACCTTTTCCCACTTGTGGGAAAACCCCCTGTTTTTCTTGCCCGAAAAGGACAATATCACATGGAAATGTCCCCGAGGTGGGAGCATTAATGTGAAGTTACACCTGTACAGAAATATAAAGTTACACCTGTACAGAAATTTAAAGTTAAACCTGTACAGATAATAGATAAAGTTTATGCTCGTACAGAAATAGGAAGTTGTGTTTGTACAGAAATACAGAGTCACGCCTGCAAGAAATATGAAATTGTGCTTTTACAGAAATATGAAGTTACACCTGTACAGCAATTGGAAGTTGTGCTCGTGCAGAAATAAGTTACACCCGTACAGAAATATGAGGTTGTGCTTGTGCAGAAATCTGAAGTTACACTGGCACAGAAACACGAGGTTGTGCTTGTACTGAAATATGAAGTTACAGCTGTACAGAAATTTGAAGTTGTGCTTGAATGGAAATACGAATTTACAGCTGTAGAGAAATATGGTCAAACTTGTACAGAAATATAAAGTTGTGTTTGTACAGAAATATGGTCACACTTGTACAGAATAATAAAGTTGTGTTTGTACAGATACAGGGTCACACTTGTACAGAAATATAAAGCTGTGCTTGTGCAGAAATAAGTTGCACCACTACAGAAATACGAGGTTACACCTGTAGAGAAATTTGAAGTTACATTTGTATAGAAATAAGAAGGTTTTCTTGTACAGAAATCTGAAGTTATATTGGTACAGGAATATGAGGCTGTGCTTGTACAAAAAATATGAA